AGACCATTTATGCCCATGGCCTTCATTGCAGAATGTTTCAAGCTAAAACATTATGCGATAAATTGTTCAATTACTACACTGTGCAGTATAATCTGCAAAAATTCAACTGTATTTCGAGAGTAAGCTTGTTTGCTTAAGCGGATAAACACTTTCTTGCTATTGACACACATGCAGTGTATTAAACCGTATTGAATTAATGAACGTTGTTCTGACATTATACCTGAAAACTTTTCTAACTACAGTATTGATGCTCCTAATAGCGCTGCTTTTAACAGTATAGATTTTAATTCGACTGATAGTATCGTGCTTGAAGCCGAAAGCCTTTTATAAACTTTTATTTATTAGTTTGTAATTGAATGTTCTATCTGAAATGCTGATACTGACGACAAATAACGAATGACTCTGCGAAGATCAGATTTTATGGCATACTGCATTGAACTTTGCCCCTAGTTGCATGAGAAAACATTTAGGCAGGTCACGGCTCCATGGTATTTGAGCATCAAATAATGCCATATAAATCTTGCATCAGTTTGTTCGTCAGTGCAACCTGGCGCTCATTGCGAACGACGTTTCAGGCGCTTGTACTCACTCTATGCTACCTTGTGAACGTTAAACTGTTCGTATGCCGGAGTATGTCACCTATCTATACGCTAGCTCCTGAAACATCATTCGTTATGATCGTGAGGCCGCACAAACGAATAAAATGACGCGAGTTGCATCTGGCATTGTAGGTACGAATATACCATGAAGCCGTGGTCTCTAACCTTGATACGATCGTTACCGTCAGCTGGGCATGCTCTATCGATTATCTCTGCATTCTTTTCTGTCTACCAACAATATACTAGTCGTTTATATTGGGGATTTCCAGAGTACTTTCATTTTATCATTAGCCTCCCATTCTTGCAGCTGATGTTACCACCGTTGCATTTCCGGTGTCTCGCTTCCGCATGTTGTGGTTTTCCTTGTATTCTCATTATTATGTGGGTTATGGTTTCATCCTTGACTTAGCATATGTTTCATTTGCTTTTGGCTGAATATGCATGATGGTCTCTTACGAGTTAGTTCTCAGTGCTTGATCTTGTCCGCCTGCTTGAAGGGTTTCCCTTTTGCTATGGAATCCACTTCTTGCAAATCAGGTGGATGCTCACGTCTTCAGCGATTTGGCAGTGATCATTGTATGACGCGATATCTACATTTTTTTGCGGCCTCCTTCATATCCAGGTGTTTGACGCGGTTAGCACAGGCAATTCAACTTTACAGCCGTCAGCATCCTGTCGTCTACTGCTATAGCTATATGTTGCTTAAAGAAGAATTTTTCTAAATCGTATCTTTGATATTATGAAACACTCATACACCTGCCTTACGTTATATTTGTTTTTGCTATTTTGTTTTTATTGACATTTCTGTTTGTTAATTTTTCTAAAATATTGAAAATTCTTTTTCTTTTCTTTGTTAAACGCAGTTTAAAGTGATTCTGTCAACTATCGCTCGCTTCAAAATCATATTTAGGGCGTGGGTAAGGTGTGGCCGACAGCTGATTGCGAGGCAGTGGTATGGCGAATCATGGAGTGCATCTGCTGAAAACTAGAATGGGTTGTGCCGCGGCGAAGCCCTCCGCTCGACTGACGGCAAGAGCTATTTGTTTACTATTCATTGAGCTAAAGTGCCTGTAATGATGTAGAAATTGGTTTAATTGATGTAGAGCACTAATATTCGACTGGTCGAAGCTTCATACCTTTGAACATTCTGAAAGTAATCATGATATACCTTATTGTATCGCCTACCGGTTCTTATTTTACTAAGTGTGTCAGATATAATTTGCTAAGTTTTTGAGTTCGTAACATCATGGCTGAGTTTCAGTTTTGCTTCTCTCTTTTTTTGCCTGACCGACCTCTAAACACACGGGGGCGCATATTTATCAAAGGACTGCTCTAGAGTGTAGTTATCTTCTGCCGAAGCACTGATGCTGGCACAGAATCGGAAAAGATGGAGAAATTGTTTGACGCGTCTGCCTCGTAACCTAAAAAGACAAATTATCATCGAAATTAATTGATTGATTATTGGTTTTGTGGAATCGGATTAAATGGCTGTAAAGTTCGTCTGGCAAGGACTCGAACTCGTTTTGCACAGACGACCCGAAAAAAGCTAGTTCTAAGGAACACTGTTGGAAAATGGTATGATTTTGTCCCATTTGAAAATTGCGCAAGATTTTTCTATTCGTACAACTTTTCCAAAGCCTACTGTCCCCTTGCTCTGAGTTGCATAGCGACATTTAAGCAGGCCAAGTCTCGATGGTGTTTTCAGCTTCAGTGATCGATGCATGATGCAAAACTTTAGTCGCTAGAAGAATGTCCTGTTAAACATAAATCATTTATTTGATAAGTGATACTTCTTGCACCTTACGATGGTAACGGAGATTCTTTATAGCCTAACTTCTCCATATATGATTCCTTATTCAAACATCAAAATACAAGTCCGTACGCCGGAATATTCTGGTTAATGTATGGCTCCTGCATGACCAGATTTAAAGATTGTTTTATGCGTTAGTCATCAGCCAATGGGAAAACGCATTCATCTTTGTGTATCATGCTATACAGGAAGGACAGGGTGTACCGGCATCATCAGAGAAATAAACTGACTAAACAAACCCGTCAAAGAGCCATTAGTCATTCAGTCGTTCGAAAACGTCAACTTGATCAAACGGTATGAACTTTGCGTTGACCAGATTAACCTTGAGGAACATGTTGCCCCAAAACTACGTTATCATTTGCAGGAACCGAGAATTCGATTCTTGGCTCATAACTTACGGTCACCTGCAGACAGGCGGAATGACCTGGGAACCATACCGACATCTTTACATTAAAAAGGGCCGAAACATCGGTATCGACCAGTCATATGTTTGACCACCTTTTACGTTATGTATAAAATAGACCGTTTTATGCTATTTATCAAGATTGTTCAGTAGCGGAAGTTAAATCTGGGATCTTGATGTTACAGTGCTCTGAACTGTTAAATTGGCTCTGCTTAAGGCGCTTCTAGGCTGATGGGAGCAAAGGAACAGCGTATTCTTGCCATGATAATCCAGAGAAGCGAAACGTTTAGATAAAGAATTTTTATTCAACGGCATTTCAACGTGTCACTCGAAGTGATATCGATAATCAACAGGACATAGAAAAAGAAATCAGTAATAGCCGATTTTGAATTGTACACAGTACATCCATAATTTGTGGCTTTACGAATGATTCCGGAAGCAACGTTATTCAACCCTGTTGCTATCTGATATGATAAAATAGACGCACATTTTGGCCAGGTCATGATCAATTATGATGTTTTTGTGTTTGAAACTTATTATCCGGCTGCTTTATAGCCTGAAACAGTCTGAGTTGTTTTCTTGTCTGTTTTTTCTTATGAGCCGCCCAATTGCCCAGTTAACGTTTGAGTATAGAACAAAGCATAGAAATATAAATACATCATTAAGGCAGACGTTCATGTGGCGATGAATACGATTATTTTTAACATCAGTTAATGCCCCTATCAACCAGGGACATACTTTCAGGTCCCAGTTCAAACTTTACTTTCTCAGCATTGTTAAACAAGCAAAAATCGACAGAACTGTGAATGAAGCTGTACAAAACCGACATCGGCAATAATTTCTAATGGCAGCTATGACAGATTTGGACTACAATACAGTATAGTGACGAAAGCATCAGCAATAGCAGTAAATGTGCTATGCGGTACTGTGTGACAATGGGAGTTTTTTTCAGCTGAAGGATCGTCCGGAGTCAGCCGCATGTACGCTTGCTCCCGATCACAGTCTGATGCACTGGATTCGCTATTGTGACACGGCGGAAGATTTGGCAGGCACTGGTGGAAAGGTGCTGAACGTAACGGCCTATGATATGGCGCTGCATTCGACGGAAGATAGTGCATGGATGATTTTGAACGGTAGGCATAGCTATCCATTTTTTGAAATTGATTAATTATTTAATTTAACCCAAATTTAATCCATCTCGGTTTTACGTATTGTCGTTAGGTCGCGTCTTTAACGTAACACCGTACCTCTCTTATCATCCTGGTGGAGTGGAGAAGTTGATGCTTGCCGCTGGTAAAGACGGGACTGATTTGTTCAACGCGGTATTTTTTTGTTTGTGCTGTCTTAATTTCGTACAGTTTGATTTTATTTACTTCGGTATCTCATAGGAATCAAGGCAAATTCCCATCTCTCACACAAAACTAGCAGCTGTAGAAGAGGCATTTAAAATGCCTGCCAATGTTTCTTTAAAGAAACATTCAAAGTCGCTTAAAATATGAAGTTTAGATCTTTTATTCCATATCTAATGTAGAGTTGGATGTTTATATTTCTGGGTTCTGAAGATACAGGGGTTGGTCTTCATGTGCGCTTGACGGCACGTCAGGCAGAGCTCTTGGAGTTCAGTTGGAAATGAAGCAGAAAGATTAAAGTTAAAAATAGTATTGTAGGTGTTCTTCAGAAGAAGCGTTAAAGAATATTCAATTTCTGATTTTCAAAGGAAATGTACTAACGTTAATTTATTTAAATGGATATTTTTCTTTTAACTGTGTAAATTGTTTAGTTCCGATTCTGGGAGTGCGTAACCACTGTTGATTCTTAATCAGGATCCGCAACAATCTTGCAACTCAAGGTTGCAAGCCACCTATGAGTATTTCAAACCTAGTGTAGTGGCCATCCAGTTTGCTTAGAATAATCAGGTTTGTTTTGGTTGCAGGGTCATGGATGTTCTTGATTCATTTTGAATGTTATGGGTAAACTGACAAAGCTTCAATACCATGTCGATAAGTTTGTAACAAGAGGGAATTAGAATGGCATTGATATATTGAGCATTTAATCTTCTAACAGACGAAGCCATGTTGGAATAACTTTGGAAATTCTTTCGTGCATTATGTCCATTCCACCGTGATTGATTAAATGGTTTTTTCTCCACAGGTTGAAAAACAACTGTATAGCAAATTGCGGCTGTTTTGGACTGGTCCTTTACATGCGTAATTTTCTTCCCTGCGGTGTTCCTTTCCTGGTGCAGTTTACAGCCAACTAAAGCGAGTTTACCCAAGTACTGTCGTTGAGAAATGACTCAAGGTCATTACACCGGTTATACGACAGGTCGATACTTGTGTTCTTGCTTTGAGAAATAGGCTAATGTTTCATGGTATTTGAGCATCAGCCTTGCATGGATTCTGAGCTACCTCTCAAAGTTGGCTCAGACAGTATACATTGTGTAATGCTTACTATGGGATTCATTTATGGCATTGTTCTTC